GAGGCCTGCCTCCGTGTCAAGATTTTATTTATTTATTTGTTTATTTGACAGGGACAGTAAACAATTAACCATTGCAACCAAACATGTGTCCGATGTCCAAGTGCTTAAGGCTTGTGGCCAATTTGCTAATTTGCAGCCTTCGTCCCTGGTTATTAGGCTTTTAAAAGCATTAAGCATTAAGGGGGGGGGGGAGGTTAGTAACGACACACAGATGCAAGAGAAACAAGAGAAGTTAAAACAAAAAAAAGAAATGTAAAGTACGAGCCATTTTAGTGCTCACACTCTTGATTGTGTTTGAGCCATTTTTCAATTTTGTGCAGAAAAGATGCTGTAAGGGGGTCTGTAAATCCTGATTGATTATTGATAAGCGAACATCTAATGAGGGAGTCAGGCTTGAACTTTCCTCAAATACTTCTAAATTGACCTATAAAGTATCTGCAAGGACTGAAACCTCTTAAAATTGAAAGGGATTTTTGAACGTCTTGGATGTTATTTGCTTAAAAAGGCATCGCCTTTGTTCAAAATAAACAGCTCCGTGTAGGCAGAAGAAGAGGAGAAAATCCAGATGGGGATTCCCAACATGGCGTAATGCTGATTCAGAGGGGACAGAAACAAGAAGCAGGGTTTTAACCCATTTATTGCATTCAGAAAAGACGTCTTAGTCACCTAAAATTATCCTTCTCAAGACTTTATGTGCATCTTTCCGTTATATTCCTGATTTTAAAGATAATTTCAGCTCATATTAGTCAGAATTACTTGCTTTTTGCCGCCATGCTGCAAGGAAAGCCATTTTTTTAATGCTGAAAGTTCATTTCCGAGTCCATTTTTTTATTTATTTGTATCTGGCTGCTCACACTCTGTGGAGCTGATGACTGGCGGATGTGGGGGCATTAATCCTTCTAAATCCCCTCCGCACAATTCTGCATCAGATAGTATGCAAATGCAAACACGCTTTAGACCAGTGTGCCGTGATGGGGGTGATTTGTTGTGTTACTGGTGAGTCTGTTTGCCCTCCGAGGCCTGATGCCACAGATAAATCTACGGTTTGTTAAGCTCTCAGCGGGGACCTGAGGCACGCTGACTTATCAGAAAGTGAATGACCCATTTTGTCCTTTCTAGAGAGTCCTTTCTATTATCAAGCAAAGTGCTATTTGATCCCTTTTAGTTGCCTTTTAGTGAACATAAACGTCACTTTTCTCCCTCTGGTGTTGTAGTTTCTTTCCTTTTTTTCTTTCTCTTTAGTATTCTTCTGAGTGATTTAATTTTTGGGATGTGTGAGATATTTGATTTTTGTCATTTTTGTCATTTGTCATCTGATTTCTTGTGTCTGAGCT